AGCAAGACTATTTTCTGAGTGCCATGATATTGGAGGAAACCACAAAATTGGGGAAGGGCATCTCACTTAATGGATTTTTGGCCCCTTTTATGTCCTTAAGAAATGATCATTAAGCCTCTTTAGGCAATTTGAGAATGGCAAATTGAGTCATGGTTTCGACATATTAGGCACATAATTGTACATACATCATATTGTCAAATGACACATCAAACCCTATGCCAGGGACCCCCACCCCTTCTTTTACTTTTTTTTCGCCAAAAAAGGAATATATAGTTACGAGTTTAAGTTTTATATATATATATATATTTCAAATTTTAATTATTGTATATAGTTAAGCAATCTGGCCTTTATAAATCGAAATGGAAAAGAATGGGAAGCTTAAAGAGTGTTGTCATAATGTTGCAATATATTCCAAATGGAATGAATTATGTAAAATGTTCTACATTAAGTCGCTTTCTTATATCTGTATTTATATAGATCGTGAATAAATGGTTTTGTTAATATCTGTATTCAAGTATGTTGTAAACTGAAAAAATAGCTTAATCCACTTGTTATCAGAAAAAATCGACTAGACTACAAGAGACTTCAATTTCTTTTATTATAAAAGTCATCATTAAACTATTCATTTTTATATATTACATGTTTTTATAAATTGCAGGTTATTTATCTGAATAATATCTTATTACTTTGATTATTAATTTTTTGAATAAAAGTGAAAATCGAGTGCTCTTTTCATTTATAAAATAAAGAGTTTATAAATAGACCACTTTAAATTTTTTAGCAAAAAAAGATTTTTTTTATTATTTATTTGGCATTAAATAGCTACAACTTTTTATTTGAAAATAAATTTTTTTCTGATTTTCTCACTCAATTTCTTAATAGCTATCATGTCTACTTTTATTATTTCTTTTTTCTCTCTCCTTGTAATTTGTCAACAATTTTTTTTATGTGTGTTCTTTCTTATATTTTTCAATTCTCTCTTTCCCTTTTTTCTCCCTTTTTCAAGGTAAGAATTTCTATCTTTTTCTCTAAATTTTTTATTAAAAATCAATCATAATATTAACTCTTCACGGGTAAATAATAACTCAAATCATATAAATTTTATTTATATTGATTGTCATGTTGTGCCATTTTTTCCTATAAAATATGTAATAAATATTGGGGCCCTTTTGCCGGCCCTAGTCGAGCCTATCTCAGGTTGCACATATATATGGCTCGTCAATAATATTCAAAGGCTTCTATCATATTTTTTGGCCCGCAGCCCAATTTAATTATGTTTGTGAATAAAAGTAGGGAAAATTGTATATAATAGTAAATTAATAATTTAAAATAAATAGAGTAGCTAGGGTTTGATTTAGTTATGCTCTATAGTGAACGTTTGCAAAAAATTGTCAAGCACCTCTCTCTCAAATATCTCGCTCGCCACTCTTCTCCAATCTCTCGCTCGCTTCCTCACTTTTTTATACAAACACAAGTATATAAAAATTGTTTCTAATTGTATAAAGCAGAGAATTGTATAAATACATATATTTTTGTTCTCCTCTTTCCCCTCTTCCAGATCTCGCTCGCCACTCTCGCCTTCTCACTTATACAAACAGAAGCAAAATGTATAAATTTCATTTCTATTTGTATAAAGCATGAGAAAATTGTATATACACATGCAAGTACATATATTTTCATCCTATACACTTATAATTATACAATAAAAATACTCCCCTGCCCAGTTTCTTTTGTCTTTCTCTCTTTCTCGTTTTATACAATTTTCAAATTGTATCTAATTTCTCTCTTTCTCGTTTTATATAATTCGATTCAATTGTATATTCCTGATCAAGTCTCTTTTGTCTTTCTCTCTTTCTCATTTTATACAAATTCAAATTGTATATAATTGTTCTTTACACTTATAATAATACAATTCATTTTATACACTTCGTTTTTATACAGTTCTCTGCCAAGTGTCTTTCTCTTTCTTGTTTTATACACTTCGTTTTATACAATTTGCTTCAACTGTATATGTATAGCGAATTATACAGTTTCCATGTTTGCTATGGAGCGCAATTATGCAAACTTTGTTACAGCATACATATATAAATTTTTTATTTGCTATATGTGAAAGTTGCCATAAAAATATGCAAAACATATACACAAATTTTATATATATATATATATATATATATATATATATATATAACACTGTGTGTATTTATATTTAATAGGAGTACATAATACCTTTACATAAGTTGGCTATTCTGTAAATTAGATCATTTAAAGGCATTGAACTTATTACCTTTAGCCATTGCTAAGACTTTATCGCTTCCAGGTTTTACATCAACCTATAATAACTTATTTATCATAGTTAAATCATTTATTAACATGACAATACATATTGATTAATTATTGTTTAGTGATAAATGTGGTATAAATGTGGAAGATGCGTAATTAATTAATTAACTACTCTCTTCAGTGCAATATAAATTAAGTGTTTGAGACTCTGTAGTTAAAATAAGGGGATTTTTCAAAGTTCAAGAGTATATTCTTAATTAATTATTATTATTCCCGAATTTCCCTTTTTTAAAATGGATGTTTTAAGTGTTTTACATTTTGAGATAATTGTATAGAATGACAAACAAATGATATAAAATAAATATAGTAGCTATTGTTTGATTTATTTGTGTTTCATAGCAAACTCATTTGTCAGTCCTTCTCTCCCTCATATTCTCGTTCACCACTCTCCCTCTCTCGCTTTATACAATTGAATTGTATAAATTGTGTCTCTAATTATATAAAGCGAGAGAAAATTATATATATACACATGCAAATATATATATATTTTTGTTCTATACACTTATAATTATACAATAAAAGTACTCCCTGCCCAAGTCTCTTTTGCCTTTCTCTCTTTTTCGTTTTATACAAATTCAAATTGTATATAATTTCTCTCTTTCTCATTTTATACAATTCTATTCAATTGTATATTTCCTGCTAAGTCTCTTTTGCCTTTCTCTCTTTCTTATTTTTATACAAATTCAAGTTGTATATAATCATCCTACTTATAATTATACAATTTGTTTTGTACACTTTGTTTTATATAATTTTCTGCCCAAGTCTCTTTTTCTTTCTCGTTTTATACAATTCACTTCAATTGCATATGCATAGTGAATTATACATATATATGTTTGCTATGGAGCGATTATACAAACTTTGCTATAGCATACAAATATAAATTTTATGTTTGCTATATGAGAAAGTTGCACTTACATTTTTTATAAGATTATTACATTGATTGCAAAGGAAAATATTGAAATTTACCCTTTGATTTTATATCATTAAACATTTTTTTTAGGAATATATCACATATTCGCACTCCTCAACAACTCACTTATTTATAAGATTATTACATTGATTGCAAAGGAAAATATTGAAATTTACCCTTTGATTTTATATCATTAAATATTTTTTTTGAGGAATATATCACATATTCGCACTCCTCAACAACTCACTTATATTAGATTGATATAAATATTAATTGAATATGGCTTAAGTCTTACATTTACAACCATAATTTAGTATGCAAAACAATCAGTTTTCAGTTACTTAAAGCCCAATGAAAGTAGAAAAAGATAATTTTAGGCTGGAGATTGTCTAAGTAGATTGCACAACCCAAAGGATATGGCAGATATCATGGATCTTTTGACTAATTAATGAATGCACGTGAAGGACTTACTTTCCTTCACTACTTGTCAATATATGAGTATTACTTTAACACTACTACTACTATCCCACCTTTTATTTCTCTCCTCTTTTTACTTGCTACAATTCATTTTCTATACATCATTATCTTATCATCTTGTAATTCTTACATGGGATGTTTTTTTAAAGCAGTTCATTTATGTTTAGGGGGCCATCATAATAAAGGAAAAAATTAAGATTTAGTAAGAATAAGATGAATTGAGTTATAATATCCTTTTTGACTTATTTAAATTTAAATAACTTTTGAACGGATCAATAAATTTTTTATGGGAGTAATTAATAAACTAGGTCCATTTGATCCTTCTCTCCTCTCCATATTCAGCTCAATTCCACCATTTAACCTCTAGATTCAATTATATATGATTGTCTTTTTTTAAATATAGTTTAATTTATGTTGGTGTTGTAGCAAACTATTTGGTAAACTAGAACGTGCATAATTATTTAGATAATTAAGTTGTGGAGGGATGAGTGAAGCAAACAACAAGTGGAAGTAAACTATCCAGGCAAAATTACTTTTTCCTCCCTATTAGATGGGGTAGGTCAAGGAACCCGGAATGATAAAGGATTTCGTGATGTTATAGCCCACGTTCACGTATATTGCCTAAGAAATAACTTATTTTAATAGTTGAATAAATAATTTTAATGTCATTTAATACCTTTAATCGAACACAATATAAAATAATTCTCTATTTTATAGCTGAAATTATCATACATTAAGAGTACCTCATACCAAATGAAACAAGCTGATCCAGGTTTTGGAATTGGTAATTAAGTTTAGAAGATGAGTCACGATTATTAAATAATGATAATGAATAGAGTTGGTTCTTTTTTGGCGCGGTTTTTGACTATTCGTGATTATACAATAAAGTCCCCCACGATCTCTCCTCGAGTCCCCAACTCTCAGCAAGCAACTTAAATGCAACCAACAACAATCTATGTGCCTATTTATTACCAAAACAATTTTTCTAGTTGTGGTTACTACATTTATTATTCCTTCCGATATCTAAAATAGTACAGTAATTAAATTTAAAATTCCAAAATAAAATTAACTTACTAAAATATACTTTTAATTAAAAGCCTTTCGTAAAATAGGATAGACAACAAAATACAAACAATATGATTGCATATTGGTAGGAACGGAGCGAAGCATAGTGCACTTTTGGTCCTAAGTTAGGAAGATTTCTTCTTCTTTTTTTCGAATTTATTTGTGAATATATCAACTAAAAATTATCAAATTTAATTCATAGATAATATGAAAAATTCATCGAAAATTATTATCGAGGTGGATGATCATCCTTTAAACAAATGGGAGCATAACAACTAAATCATTCAGGAATCATCGCACATGTTCTTTCATTTAGATATTTACAAACACTTGATTAAAAAATGGAAGGTTGTTAAAAAGGAGGAAAAGTTCTACCAATATTGCTGGCACTAGCGAAAAAACCTACCAGATCTCGCCGGTATGGTAAATATGATTTGCGCCTATTCTTATCCATTTCCTTTGCCGCTTGGTTCCGTAAATAAACGTCCGTCATCGAAGATGTTTTGTTACCGCTGCTACTGTTGCCCTTTGCCTTCAATTTTCCGGCAATTTTAGACGCTTCCGCTGAGTCCTTTGCTTTGGATGTTTCATTTCTCAATCCTTTTTCCGGCGTCAGAAATAAAAAACTGTCCTTACCGTCACTGTTGCTCCGGCGCATCAAATCTCGGATATTCCACCGCTTAAACGCCGATCCCGTTGAATTACTCTTCTTACATCTGCTTGGTGAAGGCTCGGTTATATTCGGCTTCCATACACAATACGTTCCCGGAGGTACACTCTCCAACTCATCGACCTCGGAAGATGACGACGACAGCGGTTCCCGTTCTTCTAAGAATAAATCCTTTAACGAAACTTGAACTGAACTATTGACGTTTTCCGACGATTCACCGTTAACACCTTCTCGATCTACGCCATAAGAAACATCGTTTGGTATCAGATCGCGGTTGAAAACGGGGTAAATAGGACGGTCGAAGGGGAATACGCCGACCGAATCCTCTGGATTTTCACAAACCAAAGAGAATTCAAAATCTTCATCTCCATCGGCACCGTCAACGTTCTCTTCTACCACCTGAGAATCACGCTTAATTTCATCGGAGATTTTTCCGGCAATCTCGGCCACTCTATTTGAAGAGTAGCTACTAAAGCTCGGAGAAAAAAATTCGTCTTCCTGCATGTGAGTAGTTGTAATTTCATAAACGCTCTGGTGCACGTTTAGTGTCTCTGTAGGTTATGATCCTATTAATGGAGAGAGAATTATTTATGACAGGGAAGACGGACTGTTTCAGTTTCCAGCTGCGCTTTTATAGTATTTGTGCAAGTTGTAGCGAGAGGGTTTTTTTTTTCTCTTCTAGAAATATTTAATTTTTATTTTTTAAAAATTTGACATAAATGTAAAACATGTGTTGCGTTTACTAAAATATTTTTTCTTCAAAAACATAAATGTAAATTAGCAATAAATTATGGAATACTATAAATTTTATAAACAAAAATATATTTTTTTATACTATCTTTTCGAGTAAGAATCTATTTGATATTATTGTTAAAAGGCTAAAAATACTTATTTTTAAATGGAAATAAAAATAATTTTAATTTTTCTGTTGTTACGAAGAAAATAAAAGGTAGAAACAAAAAAGAATATTTTTTTTAGATTAAAATATTCTTTTGGTATATGCATAATTACATATTTACTAATATATTTCTTATTAATTGATTAACATATTTTATAAGTTTGGTTAAATTTTTTCATTTTCTATTAAATATTATAAATTATTTTATGCTTATATATTATATATAATTTTACTTATTATTTTGTAGTATTAGAAAAAGGATATTAACAATAATAGAAGTACATTAATAATTTTCATTTTTTATAATTTAACTCTTAAATTTTTTAAAAAATTAGTCAAACTCAATATGCTTATGAAAAAACACTTTTCAAATAAATTAATCAAACACAAATTATTTTTTAAAAAAATTGCTTCTAAAACTATAACACGTCATTCAAGATTTTCCTGCATTTTGATTTTATAAACCAGTAAAATTAATTTAATCTGATATAAGAAAGACAAACAATTAATTTCTGTAATTACTGACTGAAGCAGGATATTTACTCTTTTTTCTAATTTTAGGTTCCTTTTCATAAATAAACTGTTACATATAATTAATTAACTTAAACAGTAAAAAAATTCATTGAGTTACTTTTTTTTTTGGATAAGAAAATTCACTCAAGAAGAAATAGAGGAGTATTTTTGGATAAATCTACTTAACCATACAAGTTTCCTTTTTTTTTTTTAAAAAAAAAAAAGGAAAGTTGGAGCAAATTTTCAAGAGAATATATTAAGAATAAGTTCTAACTAGTTGAATTAATAAATGTTCTAATACATAAAGAAAAATTAATTTTTTTTTGTCCCCTATAAATCTACCACCATATATCTTTTGAACAACCTTTTTCATAACTTTTGATTTTTATTTTAATTTTGGAAGCTTCCATAAGTAAGTAACTCGAATGTGTCAATTTTTCACTAATTAACAAAACGCGATGTCCGTTCCTTTTCAGGCGCATCTACTTTTTAGTTGAGAAGGTGCAACTTTTTCCATTGATGATAATCCACTTTACACGCGTACATCAAGATATTTTTATTTATTTCACTCGATCAAATTATATTAAGTCTATTTTAACTTGCATAGAGTTTTTGAAAATAATAAAAAAAAATTATCTTATGATCCTAAATTAAAATTATGTCAAATAAATAAAATTTATCTTGTGGCATTAAACCTGTCACGTGAAATTTATATTATTTAATAGTATATTTTAAAGACATATATAAGTCCATGTGAACATCAAAAATATTGCATCATTATAAATATAGTATTGTGTCCATGTGAAGATATATATACTTTTAAAATATTACAGAGATAAATAACAATTTTTATCAAAATTAAAATACTTTTCAGACCTTTTTCCTAAAATATTGATTGCGACTTGCGAGCTTTTCTTTTTCAAATCAATAAAAGCATAAACTTCCCATAATAATCAAATATTTGACTGTGTTGTGAGTTGTTGGTTAAACTTATTAGTTTTTTTTTATTTGCATAGCCACTTTTAATAAGCTAAAATGATTACTATATCCTATATTAAATAATTACTACATCCGAATGTGCTAATTTAGCTAATGCTTAACTCCTTTTTTTGCCGCTTAAACGTCATCTCCTTGGCCTATTTCCCTTGTGTTTTATTCATTATTCGTATTACTAATGTCCTTTTGTTACAAAAAAATATAAAAATCCCAGCTCTATATTTGTCATTTGATAACATACCATAATGCATTATCTGATGTGTGTCGATTGCATCGCGACTAAAATTATATATCAGTGACAAAATATATTCTATAAATTACGTTTCTGAAATGCAATTATTAATCGGTTGAACTTATTCCTAATGTATTGACCAAGTAAATTTTCAAAAGATAAATTTAAACGAATCATATTAAACATTCGTGAGAGGCTAATCATTGTATTTCAGTTTGTTTCAAAGAGGGGCCGGCATAGCACTTGAGTCAAGTCGGCAATATGTCAGTATTGTAATTGGATTTGAATTTAAGTAAATTAACGATGCACATAGTTTTAACACATTTTTCAGTGTGTCAAACATATAAACAAGTACTGAAAATAGTATAATATAAAGATACAATTAATTTGGGGCAGAGAAAAAAATAACAAACTAATGAAACGACAAGTCATGAAAAGGAAATAAGACAAACATAGCTATAATATATTTCAACATCAATTAAATGAGTACACCAAATTCATAAAGCATTATCTATCTATACAAGTATAGAATGGAAATTTTGATCAAGATATGAAGGAAAATTTATTTATAATATTATTTTATATAATTTTTTAATATCTAAATTTAATTTTGAATATCAAAGTAATCTAATTTAATATTCAAAATTTTTAATCAAATTAACTTTCTAAAATTGAGACATGACAACTATTTTGAAACGAATAGAGTATCAACATGTCTTAAAGCACCAGATGATAGATGTTCAGTAATTGGATAACAGGAGCTATTGCAGTCTCCTTCCAAGTGAAAGGTATACTGCTCGATTTCAAATAATTCAAGGGTAATTTTAACCATTTTTCGTTAATGCAAACTTAGGAAGATCATATTGAATAATCTCTTTTAGAAAGAAAATCTATTGTACCATGATAGTTAAATCAAATCCTTTACCAAAAGGGATGTTTTTAGAATGTTACAATGATAATAAATTCCACCTCAAAATGTTAGTTTCTACTTTCCTAGCCCTATTCACTCAGTATTGTTATATATCTACTTTACACAACTTGATTAACTTTACAAATTAAACAGTCAATTATAAACTACAAACTAAATATTAAAGATCTATCTTTTGTTTGCCTCTGTCACTGGACTCCTCAGAAAAGTCACTGTTTAAACTTTCGAATTGTTTCCTTTGAATCTGATCATGGTACATAGGATGGAACTGTGTTTGAAATGCCCTGTACGTAACGTATGGTAACAAAGTGGCAACGACAACCAGGAGTGTGACAAGCCAAAAGAAAGGACTCGGAGCACAAGCTTCCACAAGAATTTTGTACGCGGTTGTAGATATTATAGGCGAAAGAGAGCCATAAACAACTAAAAACACGTACCAAATGGCAATGCTGCCCCAAATGAAGAAGTGCTGAATCCAAGTGAAGTAGTTGATAGAGATTGCCATTTGACAATTGACTGTCCACACCACACACGTGTACATCATCACCCCGAGGACTCCGTAGTCAACTGGTTGACCATCTTTTCGGAATACTTGATGCACGAGTGAATTGGTAATGCCAAAGAAGATGATCATAGAACAGAGAACTCCGTTTAACATCCAGCCTAAAATGCGACGCCAACTGAAAAGAATGTTCTTCGTTCCCTCTTCATAGAGCTTAGGAAACTGCAAAAGAGATTCTATGTGAGATATAAAGGAACCCTTCTCGACTTGCATGTATCAGTAACTCAAGCAAAAAATTCAGATGAACGGGCCTTTATAGATACTAAGCTATTCGTTTGAATCTTATAACTAAATCATTCAACTACATCTTCACATGAATATAATCTTATGCATCAAAACACCACATAATTCATTTCACGTGCCTCGTCTAACAGAACCTTCTATCCCTGTAATCCCTTTGAGAATCTTCACTTCTATCAGAACTTCTGCCGCAAAGTAATTATTAAGAAAAAAGATTTTCAAGGTTGAAGCCCTCTTGCTCACTTGTATAGTTGTATCCACTTGAGAAAGAGATCAAAAAAATACATAAAACGTGGAAACGATGTAATGCCTTTTCATAACCATGTTTGTGGTCGTGTTTTTGCCTAATCCTAAGTGCATACTTATATGAAGGTGATTTATGCATTCACAACCATGTAAATGTTACCACTCCTTTATTTAACTTCCATATCATGCTTTTGCCTAGCTGTAAGTTGGTAAATATGAAATAGTTTTTATTAAAATAAATATGATTTGTTTGCAGTGCTTAAAAGGAAGTATAAAATAGGAGACAGACCTCGAGACATAGGCGGGCAGAAACATCCTGATCAAAGACACCGAGAGCAATCACAGGAAGCGATGTGAAGAACACATTATATAATGACATATACCAGTCATTATAAGCAGGTCGGCCAGAGAAAGAAGCAAAGCCCTCGAACCAGAAAAGGGTCAACCCGAAGGCGATGTTCTTGTAAAAGAAGTAGCATAGCTGCAACCATGCCGAGGTGATATTAAGAAGATCATAAATGTCTCTAATTCAAAACCAAACATGAAACTGGCTATTCACTTTATAATGTGTCATACTTCTTAATGGTTTAAGAAAACTGTAAGCCTGCTAAAATAATTATGTTTGCACGCCTGTTTAAATAAAAATATTCAACTCAATCCTGCAAATGTTAATTACATCAATTCAGTTTTTACAAATAAGGTTTAAAAAAAGGGTACAATTCAAGATGAACGAAATGCCTGATGTGGTTTCTGGTCATATCCAATTTTATTTTTATTTCACCAAGAAGAGATATTGAATACTTACCATCATCGATATTCTCCTGTAGCACCAGTGGCCATGGACCAATAACAAGCGCTCAAGAAAACGGAATTGAGCTATTGCATAATCACTTGACATGACAGCCTAATAAGATTTGCAGAATCATCAGTTTAACTCCTCTAAAACATTGGCATTGTTAGGCAGAAGCATATGTGCTCATATTGCCTACTACACAATTAGAAATCAC